AAAAATGCTGATTCGTTCAGGATCAAAACATGGCTGTTGAGAGAATGAATGAATCATTTGCTCATCCTCAAACATAATCTTGTAATAATATCAGTTGTTTTTCTTTAGGCAGACATGACGTTGAGGGGAAAGCAAATGAACACTTTTGCTTAAATCTCCTGATGAAAATATTTCTCCCCTCACGGCTGTCTCTTTCGGAGTTTCAGAAGAGATCTCAACAGACTGTGCTCATATTTCCAAAGTCTGCAACCAAAGGTCAGTGATTTCAATATGAATATTTCCCTTCAGATTTGTCCAAGGCCAAATGATCTTTGATATACACATTAACATTATAGTTTTCCAGCACATCAACCATTTTCTCATTAGGGAATTTTAGAAGACATTTGAATGAAACAACTGGGAAAAACATTACATTTCTCTGAAAATGTATTTGAAATGTAATACAGAATTCTATGGAAGTTTAATCTCTAAACAATAACATTTTCTTCTGGGTGAAGTAGAACAGTTAAAATATGTCACTTTAAAGTCGATTGGAGTCAGCATTTTTTATACATTACTGGTCAAAAAAATAAAAAGTGAATCACTTGTCAAATCTTTTATATCATCCAATCAATTCTTAAAGGATACAATCCAGTCCCACCCTCCTTTTTTGTCACCGAATATCATGTTTTACTTGAAAACACGTCGTATTACTGAAGTAAAATTTCATATTGACTTATTTTTTTCAACAGTTTTTCCCTCTTCATGTGTTCTGCAATAGATTCTGTCCACTCCAGACATTTCCCATGTAATTATGTGTCTCTGTGCACCCTACTAAGGGTCTGGGAGACACTTGTTTAGCTTCAAACACCTGCAATCAATACAGATGTCATCAAACATTTATGAGAACACTAGTTTCTGTTTATGTATTTATTTATTTATTTTAATCCTGACCATAAGCATCTCATTCTCTCACACATACCTCAGGGAGTTGAGGACAGCGATCTTTGAGATGATTGACAGCTGATTCGTTCAGTGATGACGAGGTGCACGTGTCCAAGGAAAACAGACATGATGGAAAATTTGAACAGGGGCTGGTTCTAATTTCTGCTTGGAGTAATTATGATAAATGACAAGCGGGGGACAGTCGGGGGGCCGTGCACTTCTCCTAGTCACCTTCAAAGCGCGTGTTTGCTCAACAGAGGAATCACCACGCATCCCAATTAACCCATCGACTGACAGGAGGACGACAATATTGCCGCCTCCTGTTGTTATGGTAAAACTTTGATTCGATTGCTTTGATTTTATTTCCAAACTTATGAAGCATTGCACAGATTTCCAAGCTCCTCTGTTGACAATAATGCAACTTCAATCATTTTTAGCGAGGTGATTGTGTTGAGCAATGGATGTCTCGATTTAATTTCAATTACGCTTTTGTAGAGGGTGGTGTGTTGTATCCTCTGGACCCAATTAAAGCTGTTTTTAACCTGTGAGAGAGACTTCAAGAATAACCAAAAAAAGCAGATCTTCACTCACAGGCCTATGAAAAATGCATCCGCTGGTACTCGAGGGTGCATCTGGCATCAAATTTGATTTCGGAAGTGTGTGCTTGTGTTTTTTCACTCTATTTGTAGTTCCCTCACGGCCAATCACTTCAGTTCTTGATTTGGATTGGATTTAGATTTTGAAATGAAACCTAAAATGAGTCTTTTTCTTCACAGTCTTGATTTAGTGACTGTCCGGCCCTGTTTTTCAGGAAGATTTGGTGATTACTTCTCCAGTTCTCTTCTGGATCTTCCATCCCACCATCCGCCCCTCTCTCTGTTCTCCGTGAGTGGTAGGGTCGGCGAGCCGAAGTCTCGCTCCTCCTACTGTGGCCTGTATTGTGTGTGTGTGTCTCATTACCTCTCTGCACATCTGCCAAAACATGCACGTCTGTAGGCCTCTCCTGCGCGTCAGCTGCATTTACCATGGCTTTGAACACCTGGCCCTGCATGTTTTATTGATTGCTTTGTTGGTTGATGCTGGATTCCCCTACAATGTCCAGAGATGGGCTTATGTATTAGGAATGTGGCCCGCAATGGGTCAGGCAGGATGAAAGGAGATCCGAGATGGGGCTTTTTTTTATGTTACCCTGAAGAACTGGAGGCTGGATCCTTCATCAGATACCTACATTTATGAGCTGTTTTCGCAACTGTCTGTGTTGGCAAGTTTTTTTTTTTATCAGACTTTTTTGTGGTCAGACACAAAGTATTATTCACCTCTACTGGGCATACTGTAAAAAATATCATTTATTTTCCATTGTTTTGTCAGAAAAAAACTGGAGATAAGGTTGTTGTACCCCTAAAGGTAATTTTTTGAAAATGTAGGATACTTTGGAAGTTCTGGGTTATGCTGCCACATAACAACTTTTGTTGCATTGCGGATATCATGCGGTTTCATGTGTTGATGCAGGTTTAGCATTGATGAAGTACTCAAAGTCCTCATATCTGCAGCATTAGTTCACTCAAAAAGGAACATTTTTATCTTTTAATCAAGCTTATGCTGTTCAAAACACATATATCATTGTTTCATCTGTGGAACACATAAGTAGAAGTTTAGTAGAATGTTCATGCTGCCCTTTTCCATATAATGAAAGCATATTGTGACCAGGTGCTGTCAAACTCCAAAAATGACCAGAAAACACCATCAAAATAGTCCACATGATTTGTGCACTATTTTCCAGGTCTTCTAAAGCAGTGGTTTCCAACCTTTTTGACTCCAAGGCCCCAATTGTAATCAACAATATTTGAAAGCCCCATTACTTCATAATGGGGCATAAGTATATTAATGTATAAGTATATTTCATATTCATGAAATATATAAAAATTCACAAGATTGTATTAATTTAGATGACTTTTCCAGGTCTAGAAATCACACTTTTAAAATTAGCCTGCCCTGCTTCATATAGAGGGTTTTAAATGGTGCTGCAAATAAGTAAATAAATATTAAATAAAATAAACTGTTGTTGATTGGGTGAATTTAAATAACCTAAAACAACTATAAATCAAAACATTTCAAATTTTAATGCTTGTTTTTTTTTTATTATTATTTTAAAAGTGTAAAGCCACATGATAGCTTTATGTGAGGAACAGACTTAAATTTAACTCATTATTTGCTAAAAATATTCTTTGTATAGCCAAACTTGACACATGATGATGCATTGTGCAGTGTTAGTTGAATATGCAGAAGTGTGAATGAGATTTTCAGAGAATAACAAGCTAAATTTTAGTCTGTTTCTCACATGAAGGTTTCAGAAGAAGACAATTGCATGCAAGGTGTATGGACTAATTTTATTGTGTTTTAATGCCTTTTTGGAGCTTGAATGTCTTTATATAGAAAAGGGCAGCATAAACATTATGCCAAACATTTCCTTTTGTGTTTTGGTTGCAATGACATGATTTTGGTTTCCTTTAATGTTGTCTGAGTACTCATCTGTCCTTTGTGACTCAGTATTAGTTTTAGCTTCAACAGTTATGGTACCACATCACATATAGAAACAAACCTAAAGTCCCTCAAATGCTGTTAATTACATCACTGATTCACCCAAGAGAAAGCTAGACAGCACACTGGCCAAAAACAGAGAATGTCACATTAATTAGAGGAAGGAGAGCAGGGAGGAATGTATCACTGTAAAGTCATTAATTACATGCTTAGCTTAACCTCTTGACTCGGTTTCTGTTTGTTCTAGAGTTGGTAAGACAGAAACATGCAGATGTGTCAGGACCTGCATTAACGCTCCATATTTTAGAGCCTCTGTAAGTTGCAAACAGTCATCAGATGAAGGGACGCCACCTTGTTGTCAGACGGTCGCTTTTTGCTAGCGAGTGCATCGGCCCGTCTCCCTGCTGTACGACTCTCGTTAATTCTCATACCGCGCTGACTCTCATTTCTCATCGACTTTTGTGTTTAAAAGCTTGTAGTTGTTATGACAATGTTTAAGAAAGGGATCAGAGCATAACAGATGGTCGTAGTGACTGCTGGCAATTATACATGTTGGAATATAAAAATGGCTGCTATTTATTTGAATGAAAATGCTCACAATGCCACCCGCACTTCAGATTTAAGGCCGTTCTGCTGATACGAGCTTTACTTTTCAGTCCGAGATGAATAATCTCTCCTCATGTAGACTAAACACTAAGTTAAAAAAGCTCTTTTTTGATCTATCTCTTTTGCTTTAATAAGGCGATGGTGGAAGTGCACACCGGTGACTTTAAGAGATAAAAAGTGGCGGTGGTAGCCGCGCTGTGGGATAAGGGGAAATACATTTTGCGCATATGTAACGGGGCTTGATTAACAGCCTTCCCAAGCAAAAAGCTAATTATTTTATTGAGTCAGGAGACGGAATCTCACCCAGGGGATTTTGCATTAGCTTTCGAATAGAGAAGAACTATGTCTTTTCCCCCGCCTCTCGGACGACCAGCAGTCTGACAGAGGGATGAGCCCCAGGTATGGGTGGTCTCAGCACATGTGTATCAATAAGGAGCTTACCGGCAGAACTGCAAAAAGGAGGGAGTACAATACCGGAGCAATTTGATTCTAAGCCCCTTAGGTCAATCCGTTGAACCCTTTTTTCCCTCCACAAGAGATTTTTTTTTTATCAGGACTCTTCCCATTTTTTGTAACTCAAGTTCTGAGTTGGCAAGAATAATGTTTGCTGTCTTTAATCCAGTCCTTGATTCCTCAATAGCTAATTTTTTTTCAGGAAATGCAGCAGTGTTTTCTCACTGGACTTCGGTTTAACCCTTGTGCTGTGGTGTAAATCTTTACATAATTTGGTGTTCCTAGTCAAAAAAACGGCTGGCCTTTTAAAAATTGCTTGTAAATTTGTCATTATGCTTTATTAGCACAAAATCTTGGATTCAGTCTTTTTGTCGACTTGTTTTCTTTTAATTAGCGCAGGTTTTTGTATTTCTTTTTGGAAGTTATTGGTCATAGGCCTCATTGATCTGAGCTTATGCACTTCGGTTTTGAGTGATTAAAGCATAATTTGTGGATAATGTTGGCAAAGTTCACTCAATAACTGAGGTGCATAAGCTCAGATCAGTGAGGCCTGCTCTTAATCAACCAGCTCTTAGACATTTTTGATGATAATATAGCATAGTGGTAAATTTATAATCAAATTTTGTAGGACAGTTGTTTTTGACCGTGAAGTGTAACAAGGTGGAGAAAAAGATCCCCCAAAAATGATCAATTTTGGGGGGGAAGTTGTTATACCCTGTGTGAACAAAGTCAGTAAGTTTAAGTGCAATGCAATAACATTAACTAGCAATTTTGGGAAAAAGAAAATCCTCTCCGGGTTAAAATGTCCAGAACACAATATGAGGGTTAAAAAAGTGTCATACATTTGCAGTACGTGCCCGAACAATCTATATCTGAAGCGGTGGCACTCAGACAACAAATCGCCCTCTGCGCGGGTCGGTGTCTCCAAATGCTAAGGTTAGAATTTAATTGTGACGCAAGGGGGAGAGCGCGATGGTTATGGACAAAATAGCAACGTACATGTCACAGGACGTGTTGCGAATAGTTCACTTAATACCACTGTATACACAGCGGACAGAGAGTGGCCACCTTTGCTCCCCGCTCTGCAAATCCCTGAATAAGAATGTGACATAAATTCTGCACATATAAAATTAGTAAATGCCACTGTAGCCATAGTTAAATATCACACAATTCCCCAAGGAGGCCCCTTGCAAGTTACCTTGCCCTATTTTGCAATAAAAAAGAAGGGGGGAAAAGAAACGGATGAGGAAAAAGGGGGGTTGTAGGCAAAGAAAAGACGACGATGAAGAAGAAGTGGTGTTAGCTACAGTTGTATGCAGTTAGAAACAGAAAAGAGAGGGGTTACGGTCCAGGAACAGCCAAGGTGGCTTTTGCATTTAGCGAGACCTCCCCTTCTGCCGACTCGTATTGAAACTATCAAATAAAACGCGGCATCGAGAAGGCTTACTCATATGGCTCATTAGGGGTTAAGTGCGGACTAATCTCTTGTCTAATAAAGTTACTTTGAAGTGAGGAAAGTGGGCGGTACGGGGGCCGCTGAACATTTTGTAAATGAGCTCAGCTAAAAGCCTTGAGTGTGTGTGAGCTTCTCAATGCGATCTACACTCCTGCAATGTCTCTGTCCTCTCCGGTTAAGGTTTCTTCAGCTTCACTTTGCATGATGGGAGATTTTCCCTTCCGTTCTGCCGCCTGTCGCTGGCGTGGTGCCATGTGTGCGAGGGGAAGCCCCTCATTAATTTAGCCACAGAGCACTCGGGTGAGAGGTGTTTACAACAGTTTAGCGGCAAACTGTCACAGACTGAAGTCTTAATGTAGCACAGAGTCGCACCGCCTGGACGAGGTTTGTTTGTTTGTTTTTTTGCGTATGTTGGCATTTGCCATTAATAGGCAATGTTGGGCCTCTGCCAGGACGCAACAGGTCCTCTTTGAATGCCTGCAGGGTGCCAAGCACTGTATCTAACACGTTGCAATTTGTGATTCCCAATGTAAATGTTATTGTACTTGTCTGTGTGTGCGCGTACGGTGTGTTTTCTATCCATCCCAGGTTTTTTCTTTTCTTTTCCTTCTGCTCCAACAGGACCGGAGGGGGGTGAGATTCTTTCTTCGAATAGATCGTGTTAAATTACCCAAAACCATTTAGCGTCCAGCACAGAAATGGCATATTTAACATATGGAACTCTTTATTTAATGTTTTCCTTGTTGATATACAGAATCTATAACAAATGGTAATGATTCACAGCTGCTGAAGGGATGTCAGATGTTTGGTCGAGCCTGGAATGATGATGGAATGCACATTTACTGCTGATTGGACACTTGGGTCAATCGACTCAATACTCACAGGGACAATAAAAGATAAATCGAGAACGATTTTCAAGATGTGCAGCCACATTTACATTTACATTTACATTTAGTCATTTTTCTTTCATCCATGCCGAGATGTCCGCCAGGCAGCCTGAGATCCGTTGCATACAAAATTGTCACCTATGTTATCACCTATTACTAGTGGAAATGCTTATCTTTTTATGCTTACCTTCCAAAAAAAATATTTATTTTTTTGTATTTGTATAATTATATTGTCAACATGACGGTAAGTGTTATTTTGGTATCATAAAATATAATATTAAAGATTTTATTAATATTTAATTTTTTTTTTCTTTTCCATTTTTTTTTTTATTTTAGTTAAAGTTTTAACAATTTTATTGTCTTTGTTATTTTTAGTAGTTTTTGTCTATGTAGTTTTTTATTTTTATTTCAATTTTAGTTATTTTAGTACATCAAGTTAAACTAAATAAAAATGAGAAATGTTGTCTTGGCAACTAGCTGAAATAAAAAGTTTTTATGTTTAATTTTATTTCAGTTAATGTTTATTTTATTTCAAGTAACGAAAATGTTATTTTATGGTTAATTTTAGTTTTAGTTAACTATAATCATGAGTATAATTGAAAAAATGGCTTATTTTATTAGTAATCTAAATCTTAAAATAACGGCAAGTAATATTTTTAAATATTAAGAAATATTTAGGTTTTCTAATTCCAGGATAAAACAGTTTTTTTTTTTTATGTATCATTTTTAATAGAAGTAACTTTTTTCATTTTCAATTTATTTAATTGAGTATTTTTAATTTTGTATGCAAACTTTAACTTGCATGCATACTCTGGACTTTTTACTCAAATATATTCTGTATATTAACTTTTCCCATATGAAGCTGATGCTATAAAATAAACGAGACAACCTTGACAAATGTAAATGAAATCAAACACGCAAGTACATATGCAGGGAAACTATTTGACCTCCTTTGCATTTATGTATGTATAACCTGGAGAAATGTATGTTTCTTATTCAGCACCTCTGTGATTGCCATATTCCCCCCAACTCCAGACCATCACAGGCCTAGTTAACACACCATGTCGTGTTTCAGCCTGTCATCAAATTGACTTGATCTAGCATAGCATGGCAGCGAGAATGTTGATTTTCTGAAACCCCAGGCCTTGATTATGCCTAGCTGACTGTGACCAAAGCAAATCATAACAATAATCGCACATTTGACAGTCTCCAGGGGGGCTGCTCTATGAATGTGCCATCAGTAATGTAATAACGGATGTATGGAACTTTGTTTCCAACAACAGATCTGCTGTGATGTTTATAGAGTAACGACTCAATCCCTATGGTGGTGCCAGTTTTCTAAAAACGAGATCTTGGAAAATGAGGAATGGTGAGGTGGCAGACAGTTATTGCAAGCTTGTTGTCTTCTGAAAAGTTAAAAAAAATGCATTTTAAAGAAATAGATAACCTAGAAATAAAAATTAGATGAAAATGTACTCACCCGCAGACCAAGAAGTAGATGAATTTGTTTCTTGATGAGAACAGATTTGGAGAAATTTAGCATTACACCACTTGTCCGCCAATGGATCCTCTGCAGTGAATGGGTGCCATCAGAATGAGAGTCCAAACAGCTGATCATCACAACACAATAATCCACAAGTAATCCACACCACTCCAGTCCATCAGTTAATGTCTTGTGAAGCAAAAAAAAAAATCCATCCTTAAGACATTTTTAACTTCAAACCATTAGTCCTCTATTCATAATATTGCTTTCTTCAGTGAAAAAGTTTTCTCATCTGAATCAGGAGTGAAATATGCAGTTCTAAACAAGTTCCAAAACAGTTCTAAACAACTATGTTGGTGGATTTTGATGTGAAAGGACAATAAGGGATGGACTTTTTCACAGTATAACAGGATGTTTAATGAGACAAAAATGCACAATAAAACCAGTATAACGCATTAAGGAAGTAAACAGGGTAACTTTTTATTTTGTGTTGTTGTGTTGTAGGTCTGTCAGAAGTCTAGTGCAAAGCTTTTCAAAAAGTAGGCTTGAATCCAGCTAAGCTGTTGTTGCAAATACAAGGCACTGCCTTCAGAAAATACCCAATTCATTACTGTATATCTCTCTTCTGACATAACATGGTATAGAAACAGTGCAGAGAGCCTCTCTCTCAAAATCTTAGAAGTGGTTTTGACATTTGATTTCAATGACTGTCTTTGGTCATTACGAGAGCTTATTGTTTTAAGGTTTTGGCCCTTTGGAAACCCAAAAGATATTGGCTTGACTTTGAGGGGGAGGTGGATCGTTTTGGTGGATTTGTCCTCAATCATTTGTAAAGCTTTGCATTGTTTTTTTCGCCTTTTAGCCAAATTGGCTTTATTGCATTTTTGAGCAACCAGCATAAAGCTCAAAGCTGTTAGTGACTGTCCCACTATTACCTGCACATGTTTGTTTGGCAGCCTCTATCGATAAAGTTAATCTTTGATCAAACAGTGCGTATTGAACTACACGCAACTCCAAACTGATGCCTAGATAAACAAGGCGCTCAATCACTGTGCTGTCAGAGGAGTGTCCTCCGCCAGCTTAACCATCCGGGCCTGTTTTCCTGACAGCTTCATAAGAGCTTTTTTCCTCTTCTAAGGCATCGTGGAATGATCCGTTCTGACAGCGCATGTTTGGAGTTCACAATGGGCTTGTCACGTCTTTGTGTATTCAGATATTTACTTTGTGTTCATCTCATTTGGGCCCGTGGCACTGAATTCTCTTTCATATAGAGATAAATGTCAGAACACAATGGTATTTTTTTTCCCTGCTTGTTGTGATAAAAAAATATTTAGGCTCGGGTGTCATGCATGCATTGTTTTTTTTTTCTCGCTTTTATGCATATCTGTTTATCACCCTGCTGAGATAAGAAGCGACCGGGGAGATTGTTTGAATAATACAACAAATTAGCAAACACAACAAGTGCTTGTTATCCGTTGGCAAACGACGGTGAATTAAATATCTATTATTTACAGTTACATCTTGTTGCCAGAAGAGAAACAGTTTGTTTACTAAACATGCAGATGCCGAGATGAAAGCATCGCGGTTGCATAATTCATGCACCACATGTTTGCGCATCCTAAACTCTTCCCCATGCATTAAAAATACACCACTGTAACGCAGCAAAGCTCCCAGTATTGTTATCATTTATTCAGTCACATTGACATTAATATTGCACTCGCACC